TAGTGCCCAGACTTTGAACTTCGTTTAAAAATGTAGGGCCGCAAAACCCGCATGGGTACAATTTGCGTTATTATACCTTACGCGCTATAAAGTTTGAAAATTGAACTATTTTAAAAAAAATTATTTTGATTTGTTCTTCGAACTATCATTTTCACCGAAGGACCTGGTATGCATCTGCATTGTGTACAAATAGGTGCAATAGCTCCAGATTTTTTAATGTCTTCGGTGATACAAAATCTACCCGGTACGTTTCTTTATTTGGTCAGCAAAAATATCGAAATCGAAGTTGGGCTTATCATTTTGACTGCACAATTTCCTGCTTTAGTAATTTAGTAAAATCAAGCATGTCCTGTTTTCGCCCTGTGACAATGTGACATAGGGTCTTACACAAAATTTTCAGGTTAGCGACGAATGGTCGACAAACGTTTCGTCGAAACCTGATTAGTCGACAAAACAGATATGTGGTCGGCAGAAAATTGGTCGAAACAGTGTATTGTCGAACATGTCATACTGGTCCCCAACTTAAAGTGGTCGACAACATATTAGTCGACCAACGTTACAAGTTTTAAGTAATCCTTGCATGGGAAGATGTATAATTTTATTACTACTTATCCAGAAATTCTGCCAAAAGATAGCATTACATCGATAAGTGAAAATTGCAGTCGCATAAGTTAAAAATATTACCATATTTGATCCAAATTAACATTTTTCTATACGGTATGTGGACTTAGAATTGATACGCCGGGCTTGTTTCTCCCAGATTTTTTGCAACATGCACAATTCCGCACATCTATCAAATACACAAAGTTTTAGTTCAAAACTCGGGCCGATAAGAAAAAAACCATCGTTTTTAATTTTAAAATAATTACTTAAAACAACTCCATTTCCCATAACAGAATAATGCGTTATGCAGGAAGACTGCAAATCAATTGATTTCGATGTGGATATGGAATAGTTTTATTTATTTTGAAGTTAAAAATCGATGATCGAGTTTTTAATTGAACTAAAGGTTATTCATTTAATACATATAAATATGTTGAAAATGTACATGTTGCAAAAAAATCTGGGAGAAACACGCCTGCCGAACCCATTGGTACCGAAATCGTGAAGACAAATATTTTGTCGACGAGCTGAGATTGGGGACCAGCTGGTTGTCGACCAATATGATGTTGACGAGACAGTTTGTCGGCCACCCACTCGTCCGGAGCCCCAGATTTTCAGCTTAAATTCTACCTTTTATTCCAAGGTAGGTACATAACCATTGTTAGCTATTGTTCTTTTATGATCGACAATGTGATGGCATAGGTGCCTTTGTAGATTCGACATTTAAACCCAATGTGGCTGCTCAAAATCTTCGAAGCAATTAAGGACTTGTGATAGGTAGCGAACTTGTTCGTACAATAATTTTAGTGGACACAACTACCCGATACCTTCTGGGGATTACACCTGCCCTAGCTTTTTTAGTGTTTTCGGAGAGGAAAAAAGGTTATGATGCATTTTTTACTTGGTCAGCCCAAGTAAGAATGCATAGATTGGGCTTATAATTTTCACGCCATAATTTCTCCATTTTAATAATTTGAAAGAATCAAGGATAAATTATTTTAGGCTCACAAAAGTGAAAAGAGTTTTTTTTAACTATGTTTTAATTTTAGGGTAATTATTGTTTATTTCTGTTCGATATTGGCACGCTACGAAATTGCTCAAAATCTTCGAAACGTTTAAATAATTTTCCGTGAAATTTTGTAGTGGACACCAGGGCCCGGCCCCCTTCGGGGCCCGGCCCTGGGGAAAACCCCCACCTGGCAGCCCCTCGTAAGGGCCCTGATTACAACCAACAAATTTTATTTTTAGCAGCTGAATAATTAAGTTTAGGCAGTAAAAATGTTCAAATGCAACAACTTTTAATGAAATTTCACAGGTTAGGGGACGTTCACAAACTTCATAACGCAAATTGTTTTGGACTTTGAATTTTTTAACGCTTTTTTGGACATCAAGCCGCTGCTAGCGTCACGAAAACTTGATAGCCTTCCCCCCCCTCTGTCACGTAACGTATGTGAATTGTGAATTGTGAAGCCATTGATGGATATACATATATTGTCGGTGTTGGTTTGGATGAAAAAGTCTAAAATGTGTTTAAAATTTATTTTCAAGTTTTAAATTCAAATTTTAAATCACAGAAAATTACAAAGTTTATTGTAAGGTGTTAGGGTGGTTTGAAAAAAAAACTTGTTCAAAGATAAATTTCGAGAATTAGCTTACGAATGAAATACAGTATAGTCAGAAAGTCTTTCCACTTTCCTACTTTTTGCACCTAAAGCCTTATATTTATTGCTCGAGAAGCTTTATGGAATGAACTGCAAGTTTGCACAATTAATTATCATAGTGCAAGGCTTTCGGAACCATACTTTGGATAACGTCTTAGCACAAGTAAGGACACGGTGGAATTAGAGCGTGTTCCTACAATAAACGTTTTCAAACCACTTTGAAAAAAATCCCAACACTGTTTTGGAAAATAGGTCAGAAATTTTCAGGACCAAACTTCAAGATATGCAAGATCGTCTGGACGACATACAAAATAAATTGCTTGCAAAAATAACAATTATTAGAATTTATACCTCACCTGGTCAGAAACTGTATGGCCACAATGTAGGGAAAGCTTTAATTGTTAACTGAATGCACATGTTTTTTCCCAACTTGTGAAATTTATTAAAAATTGTGTTGCATTTGAACATTTTGTTGCCTAAACTTAATTATTCTGCTGCGCAAATATAAACTTTGTTGGTTGTAAAATTTTACATTTTAGTGGATTAAAAAATGCGATTGGTTGCAAATTTTAGTGTTGCGAAAATTATTTCTTTTCGTTGGAAGAAAAAAATTTGGTTGGGCACTATAAATTTGACCCTTTATAAAAAACCTCGAGTCATCTTCAAAAATGAATACAGGGTCCTACTGCTTTTATTTATTGTTTGGGGGTAAAATCTTGTAAAATTGATGATTGCTTGTGCTTGTTTAAGAAACATTACGCAGAGAACTGATCCTAGTTGAAAAAACGTCAGAAAATTATTATTGCTTACAACAATAAATAATTCATCACGTCATGTCGCGAAAACTTGTCATGTCAAACACTAAACCAAGCAAAACTGAATACAATTCCAATAGGAGAGTAAAATCCCGGGATTTTATTGGTTCAAGTAAAATCCAGCATGCTCTGATTTTTTCAGGAGACATTTTTTGCATGCAAAGCTTATGTATGGATGTCACCCTTTAAAAATCAAACTATACTCCCCTGCATACTTGCAAACTCAGTCAAGCAATGAATTAAACCCTATAATTCATTTCTTAACTGGCTATCCGTACTTTTATCAACAGGTGCTAATCATTCTGACAAATCACAAATTTGGAAATGTGCCTACCTCTGCCTGAACATGGTTGAAATTGATTACTACATTGTATCATTTTCCACAGCTTTACTAGCTTTCCTGTTTCCCTGCAAGGCACCCCTTCTTAGTGCCCTGTTTGCCAAAATGGTCGCTTGGATGTTCCACATTTTGTGCAGCGTACGATCTTTGTTGTCTTCGAATTTTTGAATATGACCACAGTCATCGTCGGGGCAGGTTATCACGCCGTGGCTACCCTTGTGCCATGTCTTTGCTTCTTATCAACAGAATTGAAAAGGCTTGACGATTTTCTCAAGGAATTTCAGACTACAGAAAATTGCAAGTACTTGAAAAAATCGTCAACTCTGTCATACGGGAAAGGATATTTGCTATATATGGATACTTTCTGCCCTTTGCGCAGTTGATATTTTGCTTTGTCGCGATTAAAATTTGCCACGTTCCGGAAGCAAGCATTATGCGAGCTGCTATGTTCATCGCTGCGTATATTGGGCTACTTACCGTATCAATGACAACATTTTCCATGGCAGGATTTGTAATTCGGTTCAGCACCAAGTGGATAATGGGGTTCAAGAAATAAGCAAGTCGCCAGTGACTAAGCGGATTTGCAGGTCGTTGACCCCATTGAGGGTTCAGTTTGGAAATAATTTTGTCGAACCAATGACACCCCTGGTTATTCAGGAATTCTGCATTCGGCAAACCACTACCCTCCTGCTTTTGTCGAAATAAATGTTTGGAATTTATTTAGAGGTGATAAATACTGCTTAATTCTTTCCCCCTTGATTGGACGCTTTGTAACTCATTTTATGAAATAGCACATATTTTTGTAAAATTATGTAATCATGTTTCCATATATGCGGAGTAATTCTAAAAAGAGCTATGTGCAGTCTCTTCTTAATTCTAAAACCACGTATGTGCATAATAAGAACTAGTAAAAAGATTTATGTAACTGCAAGTCCAAAATTAAAAAGCATTATTTATTCATGCAAGATTATACGGATGACGTAAATATGTACATATATCTGAGCGCATTTATTATACTCATAAATTGAAAAGTCAAAACTCAATGAATTAAGGATTTCTAAGTTAGAATTTGCTTAAGGCACTGTGAAAATGTCCATTAATTATTGTTAGGCATCTTGATATTAATATGATAAAACTGTCGTGGAATCACCTGTACTGTACAGTAAAAACCAGTATTTAAAAAGTCATAAGTGCAATTCAAAAATTGTAAAAATTATTTATTTGTCCAATTCATACTACTCGTATAACCGGTGTTACGTTTCTTGCTACTTTACTGTATTCATTGTAATGTGCTGATTTTTTACACGAAACTAATCGTAAAACGAACACAAAAATTTAAAGTTCCTCCTTCTCACCGAGACCTCTTGTTATCCTAAACGCTTGGATAGCCTCCCAACGTTTCGTCCATTCTTCGCGATCATCCAGAATGACAACTTTGATGCACTTCCATATCACGGATATCACGAGTGCATCGTCCAAATCACGGTCGATGAGTTGCAGGACGATCCTACTTTAGTAATCAGCTAAGGGCTCACATTCCCAAATGAACGGGATTGCATCAACTCCCATTTCTAATAATGCGTCCATCGTGTCGCTCATGAGGAGGCAAACGGTTTTAGAAATGTATTGATTTCCTGCATACAAAAATAATATGTACACTCTAAAAAATCAGGTAACGGCAATGACCAAGCAATAACTATATCATAACTAATTTGTTACCGACTGTTAGTAAATTTATTTTATGGCGTTAAAAATGTAATTCAAAATGTATGCAGGTTTTTTTTTTTAAATCTCAATCTTTAATTAATAATGTCCATCCTCAAATTAGTAGCTTCATTATTATTTTCCTTAGTGAGGCAAACATTTGTTAAGTTACATAGCGGCTTCATGAAAATGTAGTTTTTTTGCACAAGTTATATAATTATCAAAAACACTTTCCAAACTCCTACACATGTGGTTAACAAATCATTAAAGATTTGTTATGCACGTCAAAATGACTTACATATGTACATATTTATGAATACGTTTTTCTACATTTGAACTGCAAAATTTGTGTGATATTGGATTAAAATTTAGAAGAATTTAGGAAAATAGATATGTAACCTTCGTAATCCTCATAGTCAACAGTGTACTTCAGAATAGGTTCCTCCTCCCCGATCACTTTGTTTGGGACGTACAGCGTGAATAAGTCCTTGACTCGCGTAACCTTACCGGGTTTTGTCCGCAACGCTTTTAGCACCTCATTCATCCGATTTCCCGGATCATTCAGACTTATCGAGGTTTCTATATTGTCACTAATTTTGTAACCTCCATCCGTTAAAATAGCCATAACTGCGCTGCGTCCACTAGTCGCCTTTCCCCGCAGTTCGTTGTTACGCGTCATTGTATAGCACACCTTGGTCACGTTTTTCAAAATGGGCGGGGTCAGTTTGGAGTGGGCGCCCTCGCCAAACATGAGCAAGCAGGTGGGATACTACTCGGGAATAAGGACAAATTTAGAGAATATATTAAACAGGGTATTCCGACCCCGGGTTTTACTGGGTTGGGGTTTTGGGGGTTTTACTGGGTTTTACTTGGTCGTAAATGAGTAAAACCCAACGGGTTTTACTATGTTATAGGGGTTTTACTGGGTTTTACTCCGGTTTTACTCGGGTTTTACTGTAAAAGAGACTAAATCAAGTGAGTAGCAGTACGCGTTAATTTTTAACTCAAATCTGCCTCGATATTCATCATCAGTGAGATTCTTGGAAATCCACATTCTTCACACGGCTTCACAATTTGCCTCTACTATATCGTAGACCTAAAAATATAAGCAATCATTTTTGCAAGACGTAGGTGTTTAAAAAATAAGCAAATAAACATTTGAATCTAAGCATTTGGACCTTGGTAGTTAAAATAAAATGGCTGGTAAACGTGCAAACCGTCGAAAACAGGCGAAGTCAAGATTGTCGCCATTAACTAATTCACAAATACTAGACGAACTCGGTGAGATTAACACTTATTATTATTAGTCAAATTATTATTTAGTAAATAAATACAAAATACATAACTTGCATATTTTTAACAGATAATTTGACAACTGAGGAGTCAACTTCGCACGAACCCTTTCCAGCTTTGGTTTTGGTGGATAGCCAAGATATTTCCGATGGTCAGGCTTCTACATTCGAGAATGGAGATTTCAAAATTTCTGTTAATCAAGACAACCCTACTACACCTGGTAAATAAATTTAAAAATTTTGAATTACATATCTATTTATGTGTAATCCAGATTTTGTAAAAGTATCTTCGTTTCAATTATATTCCAGAATCAAAACAGAGACATTTGTGATAAAAGTAGTACTTCACCGGATGATACTCACAAAGATCCAAGTTATGAACAAGTTGATGATTTCGACGATATTGATGAGCCCAAAACAAAAAAAACCAAAGCCAGGCACCAAGGTGAGAGTGTATTATTTACTCTCACTTATATACTATATAAGGTTTCTTAAGGTGAGACTCAAATTTCTTATGAATTTGAACTTAGGGTCGGGGTGGTCGCCCAAAGGAGGACAAAATCTGGGATTCATTTCTGATCACCAAGTCCGGACAGAAACGGAGCGCTACATGTAAAGACTGTGGAGAGAAATTTGGATGGGCTAAGGTCGAGAGATTACGGACACATGTATCGATTTGCCATATGAAATCTCCATCGAAAAAGACGTTCCTCACCCCTTCTGTTGCTAACACCTCACAAAGGGATATTCAAGTTATTGCAGTAAAGCAAACGAACTCTCAGACATCACTTCCTCAGCTGTTTCGGGGGCTCGAAAATTCAAGGATAAAATGGATACCCAAATTTCAAAAGCGTTTTTTGCATGCAACATACCTTTTTCCGTTATCGAACACCCCGAAGTTATTAAAGCACTTCGAATGCTGAATCCATCATACAAACCACCATCCTCCAAAACTTTAGGAGGACCGTTGCTGGATAAAGTTTATAATGAAATCGTTAGTACTGCAAAGGAAAAAGCACAATCAAAATTTGCAACCCTTATGCAAGATGGCTGGAGTGGACTAAAGCAGGCTCCAGTTATTTCACATTGCATTAATGTGGAAGGTCGAGATTCTATTTTTGTTAATGCAATCTCCACTACAAATGAAGTCAAGGACGCTGAATATTGTGCTAATCTAGCCAAAGACGCTATCGAAGAAGCAGAAGAAAAATTTGGCTGTGAAATTGGTGCAGTTGTGACGGATAATTGCACAACTATGAACTCGATGCGATCCATTCTTTCAGCCAATTCTGATTTGTCGACATATGGTTGTCACACCCATTGGCTAAATCTCGTGGGGTAGGAAATAGCAGAGAAGGATATAATGGATAAAGTAAAAGCCGTTCAACGCTTTTTTCGTGATTTCACTTTTCCGAGGGAGACCCTAAGAAAATTGGGAGGATTGCAGACTGTTCTGCCGAAACGAACTCGCTGGAACACTCAATATTCCTGCTTAGAAAATTTCGCAAAGAATCACACGATTTATCTGGACACTGCTAAGGATGTTAAGGCAAAAACACCGCCCGAAATTTCTGACATTCTGACAGATCTCTACTTTTATCAACGGGTCACAGACTTAATGAAGAAGATGGCACCGGTAACATGCGCGATTACAAAGGTAGTCATAATTATCATTTCTAAATATTTTCATTTTAAATAGTGAATAAAAATTAGCCCTTAAATTTACAGCTTCAACACGAGAAAGCAAATGTGTCCTACGCTGTTAGACACTGGGTCAAGATCTCGAAAAACTGGACTTAGCGATATTCCAAACTGCAAATTTGAGGAACGCATGGATAAAGCCCTCCCTCCCGTTGTTTGCGCTGCATATCTACTCGATCCGTATTACCGAGGCAATATACTTGTGTTAAATTAAAAAGTAAAATATATTAAACATTTGATTTGTATATATTCTAGGCGAGGGGTTACCTACTATCTTTCGTGAACGGGGGCAAGTGTGGCTGGCAAAGAAAAATCCATTATACGAGTCTGTTCAATTGAAACTTGAGGCAGGCGATTCAAATTATTTTGTGAAACGATTAATGAACAAAGAGATACTTCGGGGAGAACTTGCTCTGACTTCTTCTCAGTGGTGGGATATAATGGGGTCGCAGATGGAAAATAAATTGCCAATTGGATTTGCTAAATTGGCAAAGGAACTGATGATGCTGCCGGCATCTACAAGTGGGATGGAACGGTGTTTCAGCACAATGGGAATAATAATTTCAAAAACAAGAAATAGGATAGAAATTGAAAAAGCAAGTAAACTTTGCATGATATATCGAACACTTAATTGTGGTAGATTAGAAGATAAAGATATTGACCTCTCTTAATAGAAACTTTCTCTCATTCCCCACCGTTATAAGTATTACTAAGAATGTTTACATATTAGGAAGTATTTTTCCAAACTATGTGATTTTTTGTGACTTTATTTTTGATGAAATTAATAAATACATAGATTACGTAAAAATTATCGGTTTTGAGTGTTTGAAGCCCAGTATACAGCATAGATCGGAGTACTCCGGGCTTGGAGTACGTACCCCGGCCTCCGGAGGCCGGAGTACGCAGCTTTTTCTGGAGGCCGGAGTACGCGGAGGCCGGAGTACACGTGGCCAGCCGGAGGCCGGAGTACGCGGAGGCCGGAGTACACGTGGCCGGCCGGAGGCCGGAGTACGGAGGCCGGAGTACGCAAAATTTCCGATCGCATAGATAGGAGAATTCCGGGCTTGGAGTACGTACTCCGGCCTCCGGAGGCCGGAGTACGCGACTTTTTCTGGAGGCCGGAGTACGCGGAGGCCGGAGTACGCGTGGCCAGCCGGAGGCCGGAGTACGCGGAGGCCGGAGGACGTAAAATATCCGATCTATGGTATACAGTAAAACCCAGTAAAACCCAGTAAAACCCCAAAACCCAGTAAAACCCAGTAAAACCCCGGGGTAGTTGTTTTTAGAGTAAAACCCCGGGTTTTTCAGAACCCTGACATTAAAATTTTAGCAATACATGCTCAGCCAAATTTTTAATATTTCCAACCGGAAGTAAAAAAACTCATGACTCTAAATTCAAATGTTTGCTTTACAGTGTATCGAAGGCAAGTAAATATATAACCACTTGCAAGAAATAACTGCAAAAAAGTGATTTCTTGTAGCTGTTGTTCCCTTCAAAAATGCAAGGTGCAAGAAACCACTTCCCGCCGCTATGGTTGATAGGGAGCGTCGCCAGATAGCGAATATTTCTTGCACGTGCATTTCTTGCTTTGCAATTCAAGAAATGTAGCACACGCTTCCATCAGCATACGGTTTATACAGAGAATATTCGTTATTTCTTCGTGTCTTTAGTATCATAAAATTCTTTACGGAGATAAAACAAGGGGTCAGGCTTAATAAACTCGTAAGCGTAGTAACGAAATTTTCGATGAGAAAATATTACGACGGATATGACATCTCGTAAGCTATTTTATGATACAAAGAAATAATGAATACCCTCATTATAAAGTTGTCGCGTGTATGGAAAGGGTCAAGACTCACCTCTAAATCTGAGCTCTTTAATGGCACTCCTAACTCTATTATTGCTGCATGAATGCTCATCTTCCTCTTCACATCGTCCCCTTGGCCTCCAAATACTTCTACTTGGACGACCATGTTAAGATAGTTGGCCCCTTTTTCACACGATCGCCACTCGAGTTGTACCTCATTTATGGTCAACTCGGACGATGGAGGTACTGTTTCGTCACCATAGTTTTCCTGGAGCACATCTGGACGCTTAAGGCTCTCAAGAGTCTTGACATCCTCCAGCCATCCGACAGGATCATCCAACATTTTCCCACGAAGACAGTTCCACACATCTTCAATGAGGTCGGAGTCATTGGCATCATCGAAGCGGAAATTTGAAAATCCCGCCACATCACTGTACACACACAGGGGGCGACAATCCCAGATTTCAGATTCGAGTTCGTTTTCGAACAAAAAATCTAACGTGGTTGAGAGAAGAAGGCAGACTTTGGAGGTTTGAGTAGTTCCTAAAATTGAAATAAATCACGAAATCATTTACATGGACAGAGGGCATGGCAAACAAGATAGCGTAGAACGACTGATATTCATGGTTTCGATTGGTAAAAACCAAATTGACCAGGGCAGCGGGAAAAAGTGGGAAAAAGGCATTTTTACCACCCACCCAAAATGGATGGGAAATGGGAAAAATGGAAGAACTCTGGTTTTGGGGCAATCCGAAACAACTTCTTTAAAACTTAAGATTTTCAAAATTTGACTTCATATTCGTATTCTCCATCAAATTCTGAGAAAATTAGTTGGTAATACGGTTCAATTTGATCAATCTCTAAAATTAACATGTATTCACACGGGAAAATTGGAAAAATAATTAAAACTGATCAAAAGTGCTCGTATTACATATCAAAATTTTCAGAAATTCGTGGAAATCACGAATATGAAGTCCAATTACGGAAATATTGATTACTAAAGAAGTTAGCTTTCCCCATAACTAAATACATGGGCAGCCATATTTGCCATTTGGACGGTAAGAACCGTTTTTCCCGGTTTTTACCACTTTTTCCCACCTGCCGTGGTAAAAAATCGTTTTTGACGGGAAAAACTAAACCCTGCTGATATTTAACAGTTCTACACTCTTAGAAATCCAATATAAAAATAATACCAAGCGGTGGTTATATGGAACTCTACCGAAATGGTGTTGATAAGTAATACCGTGTAGTAAGAGCTCGGTATTAATATTTACCCATGTTGGTAACAAATTTTTACGGACCGGTATAATTTTGATATCAAGCTGTAGCAACTTTTACTGTATCTTGTAGCTGTAGCTGTACCGATAAATTTATACGTTTTGGACAATACTAGTTCAATTTATTTCCACATTCACCAACGTGAGAAATTTTGACAAGGAATAATATTAAAGTTTTACCATTTCTGTAGTAAATTCTTACGGACCCAGTGGCGCAACTATATTTTGGGGGCCCCTAGGCAAATGCCCAAAAAAGTTTTGTGTGTTTGTGTCTTTATGCATTTTAGCATTTAAGATAATTTTTTTGACATTCCAAAATTCGAAACGAAATATGCAGATTTTGGCTACAGAAGCTAATTAAACGTTTTAAAATTATGTTTCAAATATTTTTTTTGGCATAAGATTTGTCAAAAATCGGCATACTTATGTAGGTATTTAATAACCGTTTGATTTTAAACTTCAAACATATACATATTTATTTTGAAAAAATGTCATAAAACTTACAATGAAAAATTTAAGACCAATTAAATTCGTCGATTAGGAGTTTTTTTTAATTAATTCAATTTTTTAAATTTGAAATTTTATGTATGGTTAGCAGCCGTGGGGGCCTTTAATGTCTCGGGGCCCCTAGTTCTTGCCTACCTTGCCTATATGCTAATTGCGCCACTGTACGGACCCATATAATTTTGAGGCCAGTCGGTAGCAACTTTGTTACGGAGAAATCAATGCCTGCCTGACTATACCAGATTTATAACGGTGTAACCCCAATTTATTTACATATTCACATATTATTCACCTGTGTAATCTTCGTAATCAACCATTAGCGTGAAAAAGGGAAGATATCTCTCGTCATGGGTTCCGATCCCAATATTGATAATGTCTCTGATTCCCAAAACCCCTCCAACTTTTCGGGGAAGTTCATCTACTGCCTTGGCCACTAACTCGTCCGGATCCGCTAGATCTATTTCCCCATAGAGGTCGTCACTTAAACCTTCGTCACCATAATTTCCTACGGGTGTGAGCGTCCTAACGTAGCACAGTTTTGCCAAGTGCAGCAGATTGGTGGGGGTCAGGTCCGTGTGGAACACTGGCCCGTAAGAGAGGCAACTCGTGCTCGTGTCAATCTGGTAAGTGTTAAAGTAAACTTAATTAACATTGTCGTATAACCATTTATTTATGTACCTTTACTTCAATTTATTAATTCACGAAGGCCTTGGTAACTTTGTAAAGTTCATATATATGTATGTTCTTTAAACCAGCAAAGTTTGGCAAAATTTTGAAAATTTTCTAAGGAAATCAGCTTACAAATGTTTTTAAACTTGTTTAGATCCAGGGAGATTTTTTAATTTGTAAAACTGTGTAAATTAAATATGCGACAAACTTTACAAGTTTTGGTAAGTTACAAATCACTATTGCTCTAATTTGAACTTTAATTCTACATATACATGCATATAAATATGTGAATATGTATATGTATATGAATATTTAGCTCACTCTAAAGTATAAATTTTGAATCTTTCTAAAACTAATTAGTAATTAGTAATTACCTCATTCCCCTCTAGCACTGGGCGTTTCGAGGTCTCGAACATGACGACGTGAAGCGTTACGTTAATCTCGTTGAGGCCAACGTACAAATCCAGGTATGGCACAGAGGTGGTTGACAATTTCCAAAGTAGGGCAACATTGCGGATTGTTAAATCCTTTGGACGATTTGCGTCGATGTTTCCAAGTACGAAAGAAACTTGAAAAAACGTGAGTATCTGTACCACTAAAATTCCGAGGGGTAAAAGGATCTTCATTTTAATTATTGTTGTGTATCCTATGTTAATAAATTAAGTAAATATTAAATTGTGAAGTTCAACTGCCAACCGAATCACTATGTATTTCGTTATCTACGTAAGTATTTATTAGCTCTGATAACAAATTCATGCCTCCTAGATATGTATGTATTTAACGTTGCATAATATATACGCGAGCGAAATTGTCATATGAGGGACCGTGCATAAAGGATGTTGTAAACGAATTTCCATGCATTTATGATTCATTCATTTTTCTTCTAATATCAACATCGGAGGACCGGAAAAAATAACATTAAAAAAGTTACTGCTGAGGTGGCATTTAATTATGCATGTATCTATCTAGATAGTGAAGGTAAGTACTTAACCACGAAAACGTATTTACTATCTGGACAGAATTGACTCATACGATTGACTACCCTTAGCAAAACGGAAAGCCCACATGACTTAACTAAATTGTGATAATATTTTACCCCACATTGTGATAAATCTTCCCCACAATGTGTTAAATCCTCACTATCTAGTGTTACGTTTACACATTGTGGGGAAGGTTTATCACAATGTGGGATAAAATATTATCACAATTTAGTTAAGTCATTTGGGCTCCCCGTTTTTCTAAGAGCGTATCTGTAAGCTGCAAATTTTTGCACTGCACGTATGTACATCGTCATCTCTATATCTATACATATAAAGTAGGAAGAAGTTCCCTACATATGTACTTGAGTATGTATACATATTTACATGAATATCGCCATTGTTCACTGTTAACTTTCATCGAGTTAACCGAATATGACAATGAATGAAAACGATTGATTGATTGATTGAAGTTTTTATTAATGGTGTCGAACGAGCGTCAGCACACGTACTGATTTTCAGCCCTGGACACCAAGCGACAGTAATAGAATATAATTTTACAACATAACTACTCTAATCTTAACTAAATCTATCAAATTAACAGATTATCCGAATGTATAAATAAGTACAATTAACCTTTGTCTCGCATTCGAATAATATACTCTTTCAATGACTCGCAAAACGCTGAGTAAGTCATTTCATTGAATACCCAGTTTTTAGGAAGGTCATTCCAGAGCTTGTAAGTTCGGAATGAAATTGAGCGCTTTCTAGATTCAGTTCTATGAATAATTGGGCCAAGTCTTGGCATTGTGGAGCCTAGAGAGATACTTCTAACAGAAAAATGAAGTTTACCTAATGACCATCTCTTATAAGCATTTTGAGAGTTACGTATTTTAGTCTCTATCTCAGAGTTAGAAAATTACAATCCGTGCGGATTTTGATCATTTCATCCGAATTGCGGATTTTTGAAAAAGATAAACGAATTTCCTTTCATTTGAATGAAAAGGTCGTAAAGATTCCGTAATTTCAGATGTACATATATACGACTGTGAAATTCACAGTGTGAATTTTTCTGTTCGTTCGTCATGGTTTAATTGTCAAACCTTCAAAATAATTGGCTGTAGGCGTGCACGCACTCGTAAATAATTAATCAATCCAAATCTGATTTAAGATGAAAGCACTATAATGAAATATTTGTTTCATTATAATCATAAACCCTAAATTCTTGATATGTGTCACTTTCAATCAATTTTCAAATCTTAATCAAGGTGGCAGTTGTTAAGTTAATTATTAAATAGGATTCACCTCGTTGGCATATCATTTCTTAGGAGGACAGACCCTCTACATGTTATCTTCAGATCTTGATGCACCTTGCATATGTTGGAGTACCCTATGAGTCTACGAAAACCCTGAAGTGGTTTGATGCCATGGCCCCATTTGCGCCCGTCACACCTTATTTATAACTTATTTGGCGAATAATTATTCAATCGAATTGTCACTTGTTACAGCCGTAGGAGTCTTTGCAAGCTGGTAGATATGATTATATGTACATATGTATGTTAGTATGATCAACATCAGAACTGTTGTCATGCACATGTAAGTACTTACTTAATTACTTATATAGCTGGACTTTTCATATGGTCAATTTGGATCACGGAAGATAAACACAATACAATAACTATACTCGTATCTGTACAACCATGCAGGATAACGTACAAGGAAATGAAAATTTTCCCTTATTAACAGTTGCAATTAAGAAATTAAAAATAATGTACACATAGCCGTGGGTTACTTAAACAGACTTTGATACGGGCATTTATCGATCAAAAAGTATCGCGTTTTTTAGAAAATTATAAAACCGGTTTTCGGGTAGCTCGAAAACCGGTTTTAAACCGGTTTTACAAAATCGGAAAAACCGATTTTGGATGCCCTAACCGACAGGTCAAATGTCAGAATTTTTTAGCAATTCACAATGAGAGTCCAAAAATAAAACTCAATGGATAATTTTTTTGGACTTTCTAATATTTTGTATTGGAAACTACAAGGGCTTACAAAGAAAATCAGCTATAATATGACGATATTTTGACGCCCACAGGAATTTTTCGCCAAAAACGATTTTGAGGCCAAAATCGTGACTGCGGCGAAATTCAACTATTTGCAATATGCAAAAGCATATATGTAGAAAGTGCATATATGCTTTAAATACACAACTGCGTGCGGAATTTCTAATCGCTAAGTGCACGGCTACGTACTGTACCGTAATAAAAAATACATAAAGGTGTATTCACTTTTTTTGCTGACTGTATGTACGTTTCTTATGTAAGTCTCACTCTTGAATAAAGGATTTCTAAACTCAAGTTCCAAGTACTTTAATTATTATTTGTTTGCTAAATTAGCTGCTTCACGAAAATGTCGTTTCTACAGAAATTATGCATTTACGAAGAACAGCTTCTACGTAAACTTGAATGTCAAAATTACTTATGATTTTCCATTTACATTTAAATTACAAAATTTACACCAGTGAGATATGTCGTAAATTTAAACTTAAATTTTTTTAGGTAAATATGTATGTAACCTTCGTAATCCTCATAGTCAACAGTATACTTCAGAATAGGTTCATCCTCCCCGCTCACTTGGTTTGGGATGTACAGCGTGAATAAGTCCTTCACTCGTGTAACCTTACCGGGTTTCCTCCGTAACGCGTTTAGCACCTCAGTCATCCGATTTCCCGGATCATTCAGACTTATCGAGGTTTCTATTTTGCCGCTTGTTTTGTAACCTTCGTTCGTTAAATTGGCCATAACTGCGATAGGTACCCCACCCAGATCCCCTCCCAATTCTTTGTCACGCATTATTGTGTAGCACATCTTGGTCACCGTGATCAAAATGGGCGTGAGCTTGGACTGATCGTCGTCATCAAACATGAACAAGCAGGTGGGATACTATTCAGAAATAAGGACAGATTCAGTGAATATATTGAGGGTATTCATTATTTCTTAGTATAGCAAAAAATAGCTTACGAAGAAAAAACAAGGGGTCAAGCTTCGTAAAAATTGTAACGTAATTTTCATTATAAAATCTTCCCCCGCTTGGAAGAAGAGTGCATACATACAAATTTGCATGGTCAAGACTCACCTCTAAATCTGGGTTCCTTAACGGAACTCCTAATTCTATTATAGCTGCATGAATTCTCATCTTCCTCCTGATTTTGTCCCCTTCGTTTCCAAATTCTTCTACTTGGACGACCATGTCAAGATAATTGGACCCTTTTTCACATGGTCTCCACTCAAGTTGTACGTCGTTTACGGTCAACTCGGTTGGTGATACTAACAATGGAGAGGTGTCAGGTGGTTATCGCCAATGTGGACTGGACTAATTTTAAATTGTTGAGGCCCAGAAATAAGCCCCCCCGTATTTTTTCGTTTTCCTGAATGGGCATATTTACGCCCGTGGTGGAATTTTCAAAAAAAAATTCAGCCAAAATCCTGATTTTTAAAAACGCTGTAACTTTTCGAATTTTAGCCCGATTTCAAAAATTGAATACAATTTGTGTTCAGAATTACTTCCCTGCAAATATAAAACTTCATTTTCAAAAAATTTTTAATTTTCAAAAAATTATCGTTTTTTTCATTTCTAAAAACTCAGAAATGGCATGAAAATATTAAATTTAAAAAAATTTTGAAAATGAATTTTTATATTTTCAGGGAATTAATTCTGAACACAAATTGTATTCAATTTTTGAAATCGGGCTAAAATTCGAAAAGTTACAGCGTTTTTAAAAATCAGGATTTTGGCTGAAATTTTTTTTGAAAATTCCGCCACGGGCGTAAATATGCCCATTCAGGAAAACGAAAAAATACGGGTGGGCTTATTTCTGGGCCTGAACAATTTAAAATTAGTCCGGTCCACATTGGCGATAACCACCTGACACCTCCTCATTGTAAGTCGTCGCCAGAATTTTCCATAAGCACACCTAGTCCCTTGAGTTCCGCCATGACCTTCAGATCCTCCAGCCATGCGACTGGATCATCCAACACTCTTTGACGAAGACAGTCCCACACATTTTCAATGAGGTCGGAGTCATCTGCATCATCGAAGCGAAAATTTGAAAATTCCGCGACATCAGTGTACACACACATGGGGCGACAATCCCAAATTTCGGGTTCAAGTTCGTTTTCGATCAAAAATTCCAACCTGGTCGATATAGGGAAACAGACTTTAGAGGTTTGCGTAGCCCCTAAAATTGAAATAAATCATAAAATCAGTTGTTTTCCACGACGGAAAAAACCTAAAAATAGCTAGCATAGAATCACGGACAGATGGGTTATTAACAGAGTCCGGGTATGTATGTATTTTAAACTTTTTCAATAATAACCCGATCGGGTTGAAACTTTTGGATATTGTTCTTGGTCAGGCATAGGTCACACAGTCAAAAAAAAATTTTCACATATTTTACATATTTCCAGGTTTTGGTACATATAAATATGTTTTAACATATTTCGACGATTTTGCCAAAAATGTGCATTTTTTGATACACATAAATATGTTTTTACATATTTTGGCGATTTATTCAAAAATATACATTATTTTTAATACACATAAATGTTTTTACATATTTCAGCGATTTTTTCGAAAAAAAATATATTCTTTTAGAGAAATCTCAGAAATTCACAATTCATAAAAATTCCGATCATCATTGGAATAATACCAGAGCATGTTGAAATGTTTTTAGTTCGTCACTTTGAAATGTAAAAGCATTTTTTTGCATTTCTGCAGTCAAAAAAACTAAATTTGGGGCAATTTAAAGCGAATTAAAAATATGTTTTATCTGTATATACATATTTTGGCGATTTGATTGAACATTTTACATAAATATGTATTTCTGGGTATTTAAGAACATTTTTAGCCGGACTCTGGTTATTAACCTCTTGGCTACCAATTACACACATTTGTGTAACGATTATTTATCGCTTGACTACCATAAACTATTTTTCGAAATATTACTTTGCCTACCAATTACACACATTTGTGTAGCAAAATTATTTTTCTTAGCTACCAAAATATTTTTGGAAATTTTACCTTGTCCCGCATTTCACAACTTCATAGATTTCCGTTGACTACCAGAATTTTTAAAATCCCCAATATAATTACACATATTTGTGTAACTGGTACGCAATGGATAACGAACTCGTGTGTAATTGGTAGCTAATGGAAATAATTTTGCTACACAAATATGTGTAATTGGTAGGCAAAGTAATATTGCGAAAAATGGATTGGTAGTCAAGTGATAAAAAATCGTTAAACAAATGTGTGTAATTGGTACGCAACGGAATCTTATTCCCGAGACATAACTGGTAACTAGGAGGTTAATAGTTCTACACTCTTAGACATGCAGTATGAAAAGAATACCAAGATGTATATAAGGTGCAGCAGAAGTTCAGTATTTAATATTTTGTCATATCGGTAGCATATTTCTACAGACCAGTATAATTTTAATACCAAGCGGTAGCAACTTTAGGAAACACCAACTTATTTACATATTAACATATTATTCACCTATTTACCTGTGTAATCTTCGTAATCAACCATCATCGTAAACAAAGGAAGATATCTCTCGTCATGATTTCCGATTCCGATATCACGTCTGATCACGTCTCTGATTCCCAAAACCCCACCAACTTTACGGGGAAGCTCATCAATTGCCGTGAGAACTAACTCATCTGGATCCGCTAGATCTATTTCCGGGGGGTCATCCAAATTGAGTCGAATTTCGTCACGATAAAACAGTTTAATGCAACAAACTTTGACCAAGCTGATCAGATGGGTGGGTGTCAGGTCAGTGTGGGCCGATGGACCGTATTTAAGACAACTCGTGTCAATCTATTACATGTTAATGTGAACTTCATTAATGTTCTCGTATGTATACATAAGTATTTATCTAAATACGTTTAATTAAATTTATTAGTGAGGCAATTCACGCAGGCTTTAGTAACATTTGCAAAATCTGTAAATCCTGTAAACTTCCAAAGTTTTACACAATATGACATATTTCTAAGGAAAATTACCTTACAAATATTTGTAAACTTACTCAAATCAAGGAAAAGGTTTATTTTGAAACGTTTGCATATAAAATTATTTTACAAATCTTTATTTATTGACAAAACTTGATTTTTCAAAATTACTAATCACTGCGTGAATTGTCATAACATGAAGTTTGATCTTAGTAAACTTTATGTCCCTGAGAATTATAGATTTTCTACATAATCATGTATCTACTTACCTCATTCTCCTCTAGCACTGGGGGTTTCGACATCTTGAACATGAAAATGTGAAGTGTTGTGTTAATCTCGTTGAGACTAACGTTAAAATCCAGGTATGGCACAGAGGCGGTGGACAATTTCCAAAGTAAGGCAACATTACGGATTGATAAATGCTGTCCAGGTGCGTCAATGTTTCCAAGTACGAAGGCAACTTGGAAAAAGGTGAGTATCTGTGCAGCGAAAATTCCGAGGTGGGGAAGGAATTTCATTTTGATTATTTGTAATGCACATAAATACGCCCTGTAAATGAATTAAATCGTGAACTGTAACTTTCAATCGAGTCGCTGTGTATTTCGTTATCTGCTTATGTATATATGTAGCTCTGATAAGGTATCCATGCATGTTAGATATTTAGCGTTGCATAAATAAATACGCGAGCAAAATTGTCACATAAAAGCCCATACATAAACCATGTTATTGTATTTCCAAGCAGTCATTTTTAATTGGGTTTGATTAGCGTATTGTCAGCGTGAGGACCCAAGAATATAACATTAAAAAAGTGGTGCAGAGGTAACTCATACTTCTGTATACATATTTACATAGCTGATGTGTTGATAACCATGAAAATGTATTGTCTGCACAAAATTGAGTCATGCTACTTATTATCAGCATCAAGTTTTTGTGATGCACCGATACATATCTATTTAGTCATCTGCACCTCCATGTAACATAGGAAAAAGTTACATACATGCATAACGTCGTTTTTCGTGAAAATGTTGATATTTAGCATGATTTATTTAATCCAAAAGAGAGTTTAAAACACATAACTACCATTATAACTCGTCAGACCCCACATGACATACATATTTATATGTATGACTTGCAAGCCCCTAAGTTTAGAATTGCGTTAATGTTTACTATTCCTCAATTAAATACATTTAAACTTGTATTGTTTCAATATAATTTTGCCAAGCTGAACGCTTTTGTGAATAATTAATCATTCTAAATTGTTCATTAAGACGAAACCAGTATAATGAAATATTTGTTTTCATGGTAATCCCAAAGAATAAGAATCCTATAAACTATCATTCTTCAAATAAATATACTTATTGAGCCCGCGGTGGATAATTAATTTCCAAATATTAATCAATGTGTTACTTGTAACGTTAATTATTTACTACTATTCTTCTTCCTGACATGGTTTCTTACGTGGACAATTTCCAAAGCAACAAAATGTCAATAAACAAAATTGGAGTAATTAATTCTTCTATAAATTTTGTAATTTAGCCCAACTCAAAGCAAACAAATTTAAATTAATTTATGTTCAATATTGGGGGAATTCCTCGCATGCTCAACAAATTATTCATGAAAAGTACATCCATTTCGAGCAATTTATTTATTGGAAAGCATTTTCTGAGATATCTTACCAGAACGTTTCCGAGTTGTCGCCTTATCGGGTAGAGACGTAGCTAGATAAGAAAAAAATTTGTAAAAATATCCTACCGTCAAATATTTATATAATTATTTATACAGGGGTAGGAAGCAATCCGGGCTTCTGCAAACCACTACCCACGAGTTTCATTATTTAGATTTTACTTTAATATTGAGGTACTACATATTTATTTAATAAGCCTTAAATTTATTTTTATTTCAATTTATTTCTTACATATTTTTTAAAATAAGGAATTACTGTTCGAGAACTTTAATTGTGGTACAGTTTTAGTAAATTAAAATTGCTTCTCTTTACTTTTCTCATTAAGTTTGAAATAAATTCCATTAAAATCAGAGTCTGGCCTATAACCTGTGATTTTACTTCTTTGCTCTCACAATCGGGGCGCAAACCATGTTCAACCTAAATTACTATTAACAAACATAAGAATTATGCTTGTTGCTAAATAACTTATTTGAATAATAACTTATTTGAAGAAACTCCCATTGGTACACTTTGTAGAGAAATTCAGATGAAGCGGTAATTTCATAGAAAGCGAAAAACTGCTGGTTAGCGCTAAAAATACGTCCTGAATACTTGGCTTTAACACTAAATGTTGTTTCTAAGGAATTCGTCTTTCAAACTGAAGTGCCAAAATACAATATGGGTGGAACATGGTTTGGGTCCCTACCGTTAGTTACAAGTCATTCTTTTCAAGAATGATATGCACTTTAAATGAGGACGAGGAACCTGACTTAGGAGCACTCATTCTGGCATAAGTCTGAGCCTCATGAAAACAGTGCTAGTTCTTAGTTATCTCACCATTCTTAACTATGGAGATGAAGTCTTCTCCACAAATTATTACCGACTCCCCGCTCGTTGTCAGGCTGAAGCGACATCATAAATATGGAGACCGATTAATGTGTGTCTTATCCATCTGGGATATAACTAAGAACAAAATCGTTATACGAAACAAAAAACAGTAAACCTAGTACATTTTCTGCACTTCTTGTGCATCTGTATACAGCTGTACTGCACGCGAACAAGAGCTACGGACCTTCTGGATACCGCAGAAGCTGTAGGATTTACGATAATAATTATTGCAGAGAAATCAAATTTCTCTGTTGAACTATATATGTAAGTTGGTTAATTCATACATGCATACATACATATATATATATATATATATATATATTAGGGTTGCCGCGGGTAGCGAAAATCCTACCCGTTACCCGACCCGCTACCCGCCGCACAACTACCCGTACCCGCACGGGTACCCGTTACCCGCTACCCGTTATGAGAATTAAGTTAAAGCTAGCCAACCTTCAGAATAAATTTGATTTAATCAATTATTTGGGCTGTTCAGTAGTTTGAGATAATGCTATGCAAGTTACCAATGCCATAATTTGCTAGATGTCATTAGATGTTTCTGAAAGCAGACTTTTTGGCTTTTGGAACCTTTTTCAAACTACATCAGAATTTCTTAGCGAATTGTGTAAAAAATCAAGCCAAAAATTAGGAATTATCACTTATCTTTCCGTTGAATAGCCGGTTTAACGAAAACTATTGGGGGCAGAGTTCAAAGTCCACCATGGTTTTCGTCCAGTGGAGGAAAAACATGCAGAACATTTAAATACTTAAAACCTACAGTGCAGACTTGATATAGCCCGAGTCAGGCGTAAATCTGTTTTTAAACTAAAATTATTAAAACTTCGAATTCTTCAATTAAGAGCCTTTAGTAACCCATATACCAAAATTTATCCACCATCACTAAATGTAATCGGCTATCACTAAATTTTTGTTAGTGCACACATTTTTTTCCCTTGGTCACCAGTATCGACTGTGGCCATAACTTTGAAACGAGTGTATATTTTTTCTTAAAACTTTCAGGATATTATGTTATCAATATTCGATGTAACATATGTAAATTCCAGCCACGCGGGTGACTAGGTTCATATACATTTGTTGGTGCACACATATTTTTCTCCCTGGTCTGGTCATCTTATTGGGTTGCCCAATAAGGTCCTCTAGATGAAAATTTTTCTTATTTTTCTTCGTATTATTCCATTAGGAGCTATTACCAACTTATCTACCAAATTTCAGCTCGATTTGAAGAATTGAAAAATTAGCATGGGTCACCCCATAGGGTCTGTCCAGGTGAAAATGTGTCAAATTTCAATTCATATTCTTCCATTGGTAGTCATTAACAACCTATGTACCAAATTTCAGCTTTATTGGCTAAGTTTTAAAAATCGGTATGGGTCACCCCCTAGGGTCCCTCCAGATGAAAATTTTTACAATTTTACTTTGTATTCCTTCATTAGAAACCATTATCAACCTCTACACCAAATTTCAGCTTTCTACAGCAATTTTGAAATTTTGATGCATAATACCCCACCCACCCAGATGACCCCCACCGGTCAACCACTTGAACGATTTCGCCCATCTTCGAACTTAACTCCTCCTTTGACCCTTACTACATTTGTGCAAAATCTCAAGTGGATCGGATTAGTTTTATGGCAGTTATCGCAAACCAGACAGAAAGACAGACAGACAGACAGACAGACAGACAGACGGACATGACGGGTACATAAGCCCTGACTCGGGCTAAAAATTGCACTTTGCCGCCAATATTTTTTTTCAAAGTGGACATTCAGCGGCAAGTAAATATTCTTTATCACGCGGTTCCTAATTTTTAACTTGACATTTTAATATACTCCCTAGACCATCGTGGTGTAGCTTGGTGTGTTTGAAAAAAGGTTAATTTTTAGTTTGTTTTAAATGCAATTTTCATTTAAATATTGTCTACAAATAAAATTTTTGCTTTCAATCGAATTCAGGTTTTTCATATTCAAAGCACAAATTAAAATCTCGTGAGTCTCAAATAAATTCACACAAATACAAGTCAAAGTATTACTGATATTTTAGAGGAGGCAAATTATACTTGACTAACAATAATTTCTCCGCATTTTCTGGATGTGAGAAGCATTTGAGGCTGCCGTAGGCCTCTGTGGCTTCCGAAAAGACATGCTCGCCATAATTATTAGTTGCTGGCAAATAACAAATTTTGAAATGGATAAATAATAAATTGACCCATTGTGGCTAAAAGGACTAACTTGCTTCTAAGTTTCTTTATGAACTAATTTATGTCGAAAATTAAATAAAAAAAGAACTACCCGTTACCCGTGCGGGTAGTTCTCGCTACCCGCAGATGACGGGTACCCGCAAGAATCGTGCGGGTATGCGGGTAACGGGTACCCGACCCGTTACCCGCGGCAACCCTAGTATGTACATATAACTATAAATATACTATGCACAGACAGCACATAATTTATTCCACGCGAACATATAAATAAATCTTTCCGTCTTCATAATTAAATTATGTATCAATAATAATAATAATATTTAATCGTGGTGTATGATGAAATTATCCTTGTTCATGCTGGTGTTTACATATCTCAATTCGCTATCCAACCACACTATTTTGTGGCACGTTTTGGTTTTGATTCACTATTTGCACGCTTCCAACTAATAAAAATCATGAACGATTTAATACATAAACCGGATAGAAATTATTGTTTGAGACTTTAACTTTAAGATTTAAATAATTATTTATACCTCCAGCAGATTTTAAGGCATCTGTTAATTTCCCTAGGGCGTCTGAATAAAACTTATAATTGTTAATTTTGAACGTTATACTTTCCAAATAAAATTTGCACACCTGGAGATGCTCCACCCAACTTTAAAGTTGTTGCTTGATCATTACTACCTTGAGCATTCGAACCACCCGTTGATTGAGGGGGAGCTACGTACAATGGAAATTTGTACAAAAAACTTTGTAATTATTTTTTGCAAAGGCTAACCTAAACTTGGCTGGATTTGCACAGGTTGATTTAGAATTGGCTGCTGTTGTTGGAAATTTTGCTGCTGAAATTGACCACTCATTTGGTTCTGCTGGGTTGGAAACATTCCCGGATTTATCATGCTGACTGGCCCAGGTTGAAATGGAGGTTGAAATCCGGCTAAGAATTGGTTTTGAAGAGTGTTTTACGAATGAAGTTAGTGGTTTACAGATAATTATTTGTCAGAAGTTTACCCAGATTATTTCCCATCGGTCCAGAATTTGTTTGCTGAAAACTGTTCTGATTATGAAATTCAGAATGATGTTCGGAATGGTGCTCGGAATGATGTTCTGATGAATGCTGGGCTGAATTTTGATACTGGTAAACATTCGATTCACAACGAGCTACAAATAAAATGTAACTTTCAAAAAAAGTATTAAGAGTTTTAAAAGTACTTTTAAGCATGATTTACCGCGTGAAAATAGAGCAACCAAAAATATAACCGTTGCAGACAACATGATTGAAATGGGCTGGGTTTGTGTTAAAAAATGCGAAATTTTGCGGAATTCTTTAAAGTGCTAGTGGGCTGAGAAATATGGACATAATGCAGTTAATTTTTAGCTTTTAAGCAGGTACATATGCAAATTGTGGTACGATATTACAGAGTATGTATGTAGTAACTGGTATTTTCTCCCTAATGAGATTAGCACTTAACATAAATCGAGATTCTTGTATAGTCCACTAATGACTGAACTTATTGGAAAGAAATAAATGGACTCTTGGTCTGGTAACATTTTCCACGAATAATACTAAATTAGTATTATTAGTAACTCTAATGACGGTGTCCATCTAATGTATGATACATAATTGCATAGGCATGCAACAGAAGGCAGAAAGAAAGAAGGCATCACGTGACATTTTCTTTCGATAAATGTCTCCTTAATTTTTGGTAAGCAATCCCTCGTACAGTTTAGTTGGAGTCTATTTTAAATTTCTTAGTTGTAACGGCTAACAAAGGCAAATTCGTATTTATTTGTATATTATCTTGCATTGTTAGACAGTGTTTCTTGCTAGACTTAAAATTGAACAATGTGCAAATGTCCACCTATTTATTAACTTAGATACGACAACAATTAAACAACTATCCTGCTCAATAAGTGCAAACTTTTTTTGTCATGTAAATTCTTTTTTCATCTTGATGACATTGCTACATGTAGACTGCGCCGTAGACAATAGTAGGAAAGTCAACCAAGAAAACAAGAGACTGATGTACAATAATCGTTATCTAGATGACACGCTTTTACAAAAATATATACTATTTCTTAATATATATGCATGGCAAAGCTTCTAATAAAATATGGGTAAAAGCAATTAAACTAAATTTTTCAAGCTCTCAATAAATTCCAGATGTTCATTTCGACAAAAGTAGAAGGGTAGTAGTTTGCCGAATGCAGAATTCCTGAATCACCAAAGGTGTCGTCGGTTCGACAAAATTATTCCCAAATTGGATCTTCAATGAGGTCAACGACCTGCACATCCGCTTAGTCACGGAAGACTTGCTTCTTTTCTTGTACCCCAATACCCACTTGGTGCTAACCCGAATTACAATTCCTGCCATGGAAAATGTTAACAGAGATACGTTCAGTAACCCCACGTACGTAACGATGAACACAGCAGCTCGAGCCCCATTTGCCTCCGGAGCGTGCAAAATTTTAATGCCGACAAAACAAAATATGAACTGCGCAAAGGGCAGAAAGTACCCAAAGACCGCAAATATCCTTTCCCGGATGACAGAGTTGATGATTTTCTCAAGTACTTGCAATTTCCTGTAATCCGAAATTCCTAGAGAAATATCTTTAAACTTTGCCAATTCTGCGGATAAGAAGCAAATACATGGCACAAGGGTGGCCACGGCGTGATAACCTGCCCCCACGACGATGGTGGCCATATTGAGAAATTCAAAAATAACGAAGATTAATCGTTCCGCGAAACTGAGAAAATCCAAGTGGCCATTTTGGCAAACCAGGGCGCTAAGAAGGGGTGCCTTGCATGGAAGCAGGAAAGCTGCTAAAGCTGTGCAAAACGATAATATGCAATAATCTAGTTCGACCATATCCAAGCAGAGGTAGGCACACTTCCAAATTTGCGATTTGTCCAAATGATGTGCACCTATTTAAAAAATATATTCCCAGTTCGGAAATGAGTTAGGAATAAGGCAAGTATGCAAGATATTATAGTTTGACTTTTAAAATGAGTACTTTCCGGCAACATGAATTACATGTAAAAAATGTCTCCTTGAAAAACCAAACCATAATACAAATATTTATAGTAAAATCACAGGAGTTTACTCTGCTATTGGGATTTTACAGGGGTTTTACATGCATAAAATGTAATGTAATAAACAGTTTGTGACGTCGGTTCAACTTAGTAGGTAGGTATTTATTCAAGATTGATATGGCGTCTGCCTTTACAATCATCTCATACATTCATTTCATACAAAATGACATTCAAATATACATTCAACTTAGTAATCAAGTTCTTTGCGTAACAGTTCGTACACATGTGTGTACAATAAATCATACAGGGTGAACGTAACGCAACAATTGGAAAATTGTGCAATTGGAAAAATTCGCAGATTTCCATTTGTAACAGAAATTTCGAACTCTTTGAAATTATTTTAAAAATTCAGTCATCACTTTTCCACCAGTTGTGATAATAATAAGTAAATAAAAATCTCAATCACAAATCTTGTACATATAAAACAAATTTTGCAAAATTTTGCGAATTTTGCAAAATGGTAGGGTTCCTACCATTTTGCAACATTTACCATTGCAGCATGACATTAAAACCTCATTGTACATAAATGTTACATTCCCCACGTAGAATAAAACCCAAGAAAACTCCGTCCCTGTTTTTTTAATATATAAATCACCGTTTTTGTCTAGCCCTGATTACCGTAAAACCTCTATTTATAGCCCTGATTACCGTAAAACCTCTATTTATAGCCCTATTCTAATTATAGCCGGTCTCCAAATATAGCCGGGTCTAGGGACCAAGATTTCAAAATTTTAGCCGGGTCTCAAATTATGGCTTCGCATAACGTCTCTGTATTCCCAGCCTCTCAGCCTTAGAAAATCTACCGGTATACTTATAGAATCGTTTGTTAATTGCTTAAACTGGAAAATCATTACTCAAATTGTGTAAGCTGAACTTATATTGTTTCAAAATTTGAAATTTGAAATCCAAATTATAACCAAAGCAAAATTTAGCCGCGTCTCTATTTATAGCCGGTCTCCAATTATATGTAGCCGGGTCTGTGACACTCAATTTTGGATTTTAGCCCCGGCTATAAATAGAGTATTTACGGTATATATATTAGGGTTGCCGCGGGTAACGGGTCGGGTACCCGTTACCCGCATACCCGCACGATTCTTGCGGGTACCCGTCATCTGCGGGTAGCGAGAACTACCCGCACGGGTAACGGGTAGTTCTTTTTTTATTTAATTTTCGACATAAATTAGTTCATAAAGAAACTTAGAAGCAAGTTAGTCCTTTTAGCCACAATGGGTCAATTTATTATTTATCCATTTCAAAATTTGTTATTTGCCAGCAACTAATAATTATGGCGAGCATGTCTTTTCGGAAGCCACAGAGGCCTACGGCAGCCTCAAATGCTTCTCACGTCCAGAAAATGCGGAGAAATTATTGTTAGTCAAGTATAATTTGCCTCCTCTAAAATATCAGTAATACTTTGACTTGTATTTGTGTGAATTTATTTGAGACTCACGAGATTTTAATTTGTGCTTTGAATATGAAAAACCTGAATTCGATTGAAAGCAAAAATTTTATTTGTAGACAATATTTAAATGAAAATTGCATTTAAAACAAACTAAAAATTAACCTTTTTTCAAACACACCAAGCTACACCACGATGGTCTAGGGAGTATATTAAAATGTCAAGTTAAAAATTAGGAACCGCGTGATAAAGAATATTTACTTGCCGCTGAATGTCCACTTTGAAAAAAAATATTGGCGGCAAAGTGCAATTTTTAGCCCGAGTCAGGGCTTACGTACCCGTCATGTCCGTCTGTCTGTCTGTCTGTCTGTCTGTCTGTCTGTCTTTCTGTCTGGTTTGCGATAACTGCCATAAAACTAATCCGATCCACTTGAGATTTTGCACAAATGTAGTAAGGGTCAAAGGAGGAGTTAAGTTCGAAGATGGGCGAAATCGTTCAAGTGGTTGACCGGTGGGGGTCATCTGGGTGGGTGGGGTATTATGCATCAAAATTTCAAAATTGCTGTAGAAAGCTGAAATTTGGTGTAGAGGTTGATAATGGTTTCTAATGAAGGAATACAAAGTAAAATTGTAAAAATTTTCATCTGGAGGGACCCTAGGGGGTGACCCATACCGATTTTTAAAACTTAGCCAATAAAGCTGAAATTTGGTACATAGGTTGTTAATGACTACCAATGGAACAATATGAATTGAAATTTGACACATTTTCACCTGGACAGACCCTATGGGGTGACCCATGCTAATTTTTCAATTCTTCAAATCGAGCTGAAATTTGGTAGATAAGTTGGTAATAGCTCCTAATGGAATAATACGAAGAAAAATAAGAAAAATTTTCATCTAGAGGACCTTATTGGGCAACCCAATAAGATGACCAGACCAGGGAGAAAAATATGTGTGCACCAACAAATGTATATGAACCTAGTCACCCGCGTGGCTGGAATTTACATATGTTACATCGAATATTGATAACATAATATCCTGAAAGTTTTAAGAAAAAATATACACTCGTTTCAAAGTTATGGCCACAGTCGATACTGGTGACCAAGGGAAAAAAATGTGTGCACTAACAAAAATTTAGTGATAGCCGATTACATTTAGTGATGGTGGATAAATTTTGGTATATGGGTTACTAAAGGCTCTTAATTGAAGAATTCGAAGTTTTAATAATTTTAGTTTAAAAACAGATTTACGCCTGACTCGGGCTATATCAAGTCTGCACTGTAGGTTTTAAGTATTTAAATGTTCTGCATGTTTTTCCTCCACTGGACGAAAACCATGGTGGACTTTGAACTCTGCCCCCAATAGTTTTCGTTAAACCGGCTATTCAACGGAAAGATAAGTGATAATTCCTAATTTTTGGCTTGATTTTTTACACAATTCGCTAAGAAATTCTGATGTAGTTTGAAAAAGGTTCCAAAAGCCAAAAAGTCTGCTTTCAGAAACATCTAATGACATCTAGCAAATTATGGCATTGGTAACTTGCATAGCATTATCTCAAACTACTGAACAGCCCAAATAATTGATTAAATCAAATTTATTCTGAAGGTTGGCTAGCTTTAACTTAATTCTCATAACGGGTAGCGGGTAACGGGTACCCGCACGGGTACCCGTGCGGGTACGGGCAGTTGTGCGGCGGGTAACGGGTCGGGTAACGGGTAGGATTTCCGCTACCCGCGGCAACCCTAGTACATACCAAATATGTTTCTAATGTACTTGTAAGCTTTTAGCTAAATGGTAATGAATCATAACTGAACGGAACACATATGTATATGTACATATATATGTACGTATCTGACTTCACCGGCTTGGACGGACATTACCTGTAGAAATTAAGCACACCG